CCGTAAGATTCTGCAGACTGCTTTCTACGGGGGGTTCCAAAGGGGAAAATCGGAGGAGGGGGGTGACCAGGGTCTGAGCAGGGGGTGGACATTGACTGGTCAGGGGAGTCAAGCAGCTGGAGGTCAAGTTAGGAGAGGGGCTGAAGGCAAAATCAGGGATGGCGGGGGAAGGAGCTGGGGTTAAGCCCAGGGGTGAGGCACTGCCAGAGGGTGACAGAGGGCACTGGCAGGGGCAGAGGAGGTAACAGTTACCCCACTGGACTGAGTCACCAGGGTTTGGGGGGAGGGATAGCTCAGTGGTTTGAGCATTGGCCCGCTAAACCCAGGGTTGTGAGTTCAATTCTTGAGGGGGCCATTTAGGGATCTGAGGCAAAAATTGGGGATTGGTCCACTTTGAGCAGAGGGTTGGACTAGATGACCTCCGAAGGTCCCTTCCAACCCTGAGATTCTATGATAGGGTGTGGGGAGCAAAGGGGCTTTTTTATTTCCCCTCCCACAGACAGCACCTCTCAGCGCAGGCTTCCCAGGGCTGGGTTCTTAAAGACACAGGCATCCGAATGCCTAGTCACTGCAGCTCCTCTTTGTCTGATGGAACCGACTGAGATGCTCCAGCAGGAGACTTAATTCAGTGAAACCGGGCCTCCCCTAGACTCCCCTGAACTTCCCCAACACCCCCCAGTGGTCAACTAGTCACATGCAGTGTTGCCAGTTTAGTCATTGGTTGGAAATTTGAATTGAAACTGAAACATTATGCACACTTTAAAAGCATAGAAAAATGTATGCTACTTTTTCAAGTACAAGTATTTTATAATAGGTTTGAAAAGTATGAATAAAGACTAGCTTCCTCACACAGCTGTTGTTTTTGCTGATAATGTTGGTGCATTCGTTTCAGCAATGTTGTCCAGCCTTATAATTTAACATTATGATTTGTAAGCAAGGTCAGAATGAGCTCTCCCCTGACAGCTAACGATAAGCCAGGGGAGGGGAAGGTGGAACTGGCTTTCAGGACTCTGACTAGGTATCCTGCAGAAAGAGCTGTGTTACCCAAGCTATCAATTTTGGCTGCTGTTGGGAGTTTCCAACCTAAACATTTTTATTATAATTAAGTTTTACATAAGAACATAAGAATGGCCTCATTGAGCCAGACCAATGGTCCATCTAGCCCTGTAATCTTCCGACAGTGGCCAATGCCAGGTGCTTCAAAGGGAATTAACAGAACAGGGCAATTATTGAGTGATCCATCCCCTATCATCCACTCCCAGCTTCAGGCCAACAGAGGCTCTCAGAGCTTGGTGTTGCATCCCTGCCCATCCTGGCTAATAGCCGTTGTTGGACATATCCTCCACGAATTTATCTAGTTCTTTTATAATCCTGTTCTAGTTTTGGCCACACAATATCCCCTGGCAAAAAGTTCCACAGGTTGATTGTACGTTGTGTGAAGAAATACTTCCTTTTGTTTGTTTTAAACCTGCTGCCTATTAATGTCATTGGGTGACCCCTAGTTCTTGTGTAATGTGAGGGAGCTTTTCACTTTCTCCACACCAGTCAAAATTGTATAGATCTCTATCATATCCCCCCTTTACAGTCTCTTTTCTAAGCCGGAAAGTCCCCCAGTCTTTTTAATCTCTCCTCATATGGAAGCTGTTCCATACGCCTAATCATTTTAGTTGCCCTTTTCTGTACCTTTTCCAACTCCAATATATCTTTTAGGAGATGGGGTGATCAGGATTGCACGTAGTATTCAAGATGTGAGCATACCATGGATTTATATAGTAAAAGAGGAGGAGCTTGGTTTGCCAGGCTGGTCAGCAAAGCCAATGCTGACAAATTCTGTGAAAAGGCTGCAAAACACCAATCCTCGGGACTGCATTGACATGCAGAAAGCCTTATAAGCCAGTCATTGTCAAAGCCAATTTTAGAACTACTTAATGAGGCTGTTAAGAATGCTGGAGACACAACACAGTTTATGGGAACAAACATGGCTGCCACATCATCCTCTCTCTTTAAGCAAGAGATACCACACACTACAAACTGGAGGCCAATGTTAAGTGCATTGTCATTTGATAATCCTGAAGTTGGACGCTGGTTACAACCAAGACCAGCAAATGCACACTATCTTTCTGCAAGAAACTCAGCTGACTGGCTAGAAGCATGCGGTGCAACAGTGAAAGACTCAGCAGTTGAAAAAGTGAAGAACTCTCTCACTGCATTCAGAAAATGTGCATACATGACTGATGAATGCACCGATGGAAATGGGTGTCAAGTATTAAGTCACTGCGTATGTTATCTCGATATCAGTGGTAGATCAGTAGATGAACTTCTAGATGTTCAGGTTACAGAAGACACGTCAGCTGCATCTGTGACAACCCACATCTTAGAAGAGTTAAATGCTTGTCAACTGAACCCCAAGCAGATGGCTGCTTGTGCACTTGATGGAGCTGCAAACTTCTCTGGAAGGCATCGTGGAGTACAAGCTTTGCTCAGAGAAAAGTGTAACGCTAATCTCTCCAAAATACACTGCAGAGGCCACCTACTCCAATTAGCGCTAGAACAAGCTGCATGATCTTAAAAAGGCATTTAAAAAGCTATACATTTAATGTCTTCATTATACACTTTTTCAGCAAGAGTCCAAAAGGACTGAACATCGTGGAAAATATAGAAGATAGATTGGGACAGAAGTTCAAATTAGTCCAACCTGGGAAAATCCACTGGCTTTCTCATGAACGGTCCTTGGCTATTGTCTTAAAATTACTGCAACCATTATTATTGGCTTTGGAAAGTTTCTACCGAGATGGGACAGATCTAAGTAGCGAGGCTGGTGGACTACTTTTGCTGTTAAGTTCGGAGAAGACAATTGCCATTCTCTCTTGTAAGTCTACTGTTGAAACCACTTGGGTCATGAAACAATGCCATCCAGCCATCTGCTACAACAGTAGTAGATCTCTGTCCAGCAATGGAAGCTACACTTGGATCAGTCAGAGAGATATCCATTGAAAATGTACTGGAAGAAGCAAAGACTTCAGTTCAGAAGTTGACTAATTAGGGCACTTATATTAACTCCTTAAATGAAGACAAGAAGTGTTTGTTAAGCCAGCTGAAAAAGTAAAGTACACTGACTTGATTCTTACATCTCCACAACAACTTTTCGATTCCATCAACCTTTACGTAGCTTGTACAGATGCCTGTCTTATAAAACACCAACAGTTGAGTGGAGTGAGGCACTACCAGCAATGGGGCTGCCATGTGATCAGGACAGTATATAGAGAATTTGAACACAGAGTGGAATATCATACAATGAACGAATGTAGATTTGATTTCAACTTCTTCTTTGTCATCGCTAATGGTTTGACCCATTTTTGTGCTATGTTTCCTGGGATGAAAGAAGTAGGAATTCATCTCTTTCTACTCCCAGTCACAACAGCTACAGTTGAGCGTTCTTTTTCCTCATTGAATAGAATTTTGTGTTCTGAAAGAAATCACCTTGTGCCTGATCATGAGCATATCATGAAGGACTGGCAGTCCCTGACACACGAGAAGCCACCAAAAATGAATGCACTGCATTCGAGAAATTCATTAACAGACTTGTGCAAAATTACAAGAAACCAAGGAGGATATAGGTACAGAGCTTCATATTAGGCTTGTATAGCCAACTGTAATTTTTGTGAAGATTTAAAAGCATGAGTTAAATCTAATAAAATGGTTGTGAAACATTTTTCAGTTTTTACTATGGGTGCCATACAGCCCACCTTTGCCCTTACAGTTTCGCCCCTCATCGGTCCTGACCCCTCCCCCTGTATTTTTGAACTCACACCCTAATTTCTGTGGAAAGCACTGCAGTGAAATATATTTTCTGTGCGATACTTGTTCATATCACATTCTCTCAACTGCACTATTCAGCATCAATTCTCCTCCTAATGTAAATAGCAGGGTAGGTTGGTTTATTTTGCTAGGCTGCTTCGCTGACTCATTTGATTGTGGGAGAAGCCTGAACCTCTAAAGAGCTATTCACCTCACTGAAAACTCCACGTCAGTTTTTCATTCGAACTCTTTGCCTCCTCACCAAGCTTTGTCTGAGTTTGAGATCCTCAGTAGCAACAGTTATAATCATCCTATGCCATGTTTTATAGAGCTCATGAGCACTTTACCAACTGCAGGCTCAGGTATGGCTCTAAAGCTTGAGCAAGGGTGTGGAGGAGGAGACGGTGGTACATCTTCAGGCAGCGGTCGTAGGAGCGGTGTTTGTGCTGGTGGAAGCCGGGGAAGCTCTGGGGCCACCAGGAGCACTGGGGAGTGAGGGTTGCCCTCACCAGTACAGAATGGGTGTAGCAGCCTACACTCCACAGTGCCTGGCTCCTCTGGGGTGCTCAGAACAGCTGGCCGGGCCATCTGCCCCTCCCCGTCTGCCATCACGGTATTTAGGCAGCAGCAACATTATAGCTTCCACATGCATGGGAGTGTTTGGGGGAAGGAAAGGGCATTTTGGCCCTCTTCTCACCTCCACCACCACTAATGCCTCTGTGTGATGGCAGCCAGGTTTTGACCCTGTAATAAACAGATAGGAACTGCTTCTGCCACGAAAAATTTCAGGTGAGTTTAGCTGGCCTTCAGTAAGGGAAATAGGAAATGAAAAATACTTCTCTCTCCTTTCTACCCAACCCCAAGAGAATAAGATATAGCTGCATGGAGACAAAGCCATCTGGCTCATTTTTACCCTTCAGACTTCAAAATCTCTTTCTGACCAAGCCCTTGCATCCCCAATGAGATATTACCCCCAGTAGCTGGCTGGAATCTACGCTCCCTTTGATCAGAAACCCTTCTCAGTCAAGGCAACAGGACAAGTGTGTTGCTACCTGCGCCTGCCTGCCGAGTTGATGAACTGTAACGGCCAGAGATCGCACCAGCCTAGACGTATATTGAAGGTGAATGTTAGGGGGCTTATTCCTTCACCCGCTTCCTTCCCTGATCCTTCTCGCATGAACAGAGAGCAACAATACCCGAAGTCCAAAGGTGCAAACAATTCGACGTTTATTGGGGTGAACTTCCAGCAAGCATGATTCCAGTTTCCTTCCTTAGTGTCCTCCTTCCCAGCTCTGACACCACAGAGCCTTACACCTGTGTCCTTGTTCCCATTCCTGCCCTTAGCCAAACATGATTCCAATTTCCTTACCCACATTCCCTGTTCCCATCTCCCCCACCCAAACACCCACCCCCCACTTCCTGATTGACTGCAGACTCTACAGTAAAACTTGAGTTCTGCTTAGCTATACCTTCACCAATCATTTTCCTGAAATTTAACTAACCAATCCTAACATATTGTAACACGATTATGTAACCAATTATATCCCACCACCTTAGTTAGTTTACACCCAGCAAAATTAATTATACAGCTGACAGGAACAATCACAGAACCAGACAGAGATTATACAGACAAACAATAGCAAAGTGGGAACTATAATGACAAAACAATACAGAAGTGAGGATTTCACATCCCAGCTATTGATAAGTGAGTTCTTGCCAGACAGGATGCTATCAAACTAAGTTTCCTTTTACATTTTCTAGGCACTTCCTTTTCTCTGGAGGTGATAGGCACTATCAGGACAGGACTGTATTCCTAACAGCCCAATACCACCTTATTTCAATGTGACTAGTTGGGAATGTGAACATGTGACCGTTCGCTTCCCAGTTTATGGCTGCCTGTTGCTTAGCCAAAGGCCTTAGCCTAAGAACAGGGCCTCAGACTATCACAGTAAGAGAAGGCCCTTACACCAGCAGACAGTGATTTTGATTCTTACTTTTATCTCTCTCTAACTAGCCAAGTGATAAGAATACACCTAAATTCTTGGAGTATAGGCCTTTACAGACAGACCTGAATACCTATATCCTAACAGCGAACCCTAAGGAATTTAAGAGTTTAAATTATCCTCCACACATCCGGCATCCCACTACAATGAATCCAGGCTGGGTCGTTTGGAAGCCGAACATTTTATGCTTCCATCCCACACCACTGTAAAGTTTTAGCAAATTAGGACAAGTCAGCAAATAAGAACAACCTTATGTATCAGTAATTGCTAATGGTAACAAAATTCCTACAAATAGTAGTTTCATACATCCTATGGTGTAAGAAACTGCTATCTGTCAGAATTAGCTAAATCAGCTAGCCGTTTTTAGCAAAGTAGGACAAGTCAGCAAATAAAAACAACCTTATGTTTTTGGTGGTGATGGGGGACTTCAGCTACTCAGACATCTGTTGGGAAAATAACACAGCAGGGCACAGATTATCCAACAAGTTACTGGAATGTATTGGAGACCATTTTTTATTTCAGAAGTTGGAGAAAGCTACTAGGGGAGAGGCTGTTCTAGATTTGATTTTGACAAACAGGGAGCAACTGGTTGAAAATTTGAAAGTGGAAGGCAGCTTTAGTGGAAGTGATCATGAAATGATAGAGTTCATGATACCAAGGAAGGATAGGAGGGGGAACAGCAAAATAAAGACAATGGATTTCAAGAAGGCAGACTTTAGCAAACTCAGGGAGTTGGTAGGTAAGATCCCATGGGAAGCAAGTCTAAGCACCACTCCCCACCTGAATTATGGGGAGTTTGATATCCAGGTAATATTTTGCACCTTCCATCTGAGATTCTCTACAGTTTACAGATGTGTATTTAGCCTTACAATATCTCTTTGAGATAGCACTTACCTATTTGTTGTTATTCCCATTGTACAGCTGAGGAAATATAGACTCAGAGACTGGCTCAAAATTATAGAAATGTGCTGGAGGGGACTTCTGGGAGCTCTCGGAAGCCCATTATTAAAACAAAGGTGAGGACTGTGTTCAATGCAAGGTCACACAGGATGTCTGTGTTAGATCCAGGAATAGAAGCCCAGGATCTGATTCTTTTCTAACTTATACTGATTTTTACACTAGTGTGACCCGATTGGCTTCAGTACAGTTACTTGAGATTAATACTAGTGTAAATGATGGGACTTTGGGCCCCTGGTTTCCCCTTTCCCAATCCTGTGATCTGCTCATAGCTCCACATCTGAATTTTGCACCTTGAACCAGAGTAGGTGGCAGGCTATGCAAGCAGGGAGGGTCAACAAAGCATTTTCTTACCCATGCTTTCCATTACATTCCATGTAGGTAAAATCCCATGGGCAGCAAGTCTAAGGGGAAAAACAATTGACGACAGTTGGCAGTTTTTCAAAGAGACATTATTAAGGGCACAAGAGCAAACTATCCCACTGCATAGGAAAGATAGGAAGTATGGCAAGAGGCCACCCTGGCTTTACCAGGAGATCTTCAATGATCTAAAACTCAAAAAAGAGCCCTACCAAAAGTGGAAACTTGGTCAAATTACAAGAATGAATATAAACAAATAACACAAGTATGTAGGGACAAAATTAGAAAAGCCAAGGCATAGATCAAACTAGCTAGGGACATAAAAGGAAACAAGAAAACGTTCTACAAATACATTGGACACAAGAGGAAGACCAAGGACAGGGTAGGCCCACTACTCAATGAGGGGGGAAAAACAATAACAGAAAACGTGGAAATGGCAGAAGTGCTTAATGATTTCTTTGTTTCGGTTTTCGCCAAGAAGATTGGTGTTGATTGGACGTCTAACATAGTGAATGCCAGTGAAAATGAGAGACGATCAGAGGCAAAAATAGGAAAAGAACAAGTTAAAAATTACTTAGACAAATTAGTTGTCTTCAAGTCACCAGGGCCTGATGAAATGCATCCTAGAATACTCAAGGAGCTGACCGAGGAGATATCTAAGCCATTAGCAATTATCTTTGAAAAGTCATGGAAGACTGGAAAAGGGCAATTATAGTACCAATCTATAAAAAGGGAAATAAGGACAACCCAGGGAATTACAGACCAGTCAGCTTAACTTGTGTACCCAGAAAGATAATGGAGCAAATAATTAAGCAATCAGTTTGAAAACATCTCGAAGAAAATAAGGTGATAAGTAACAGTCAGCATGGATTTGTCAAGAATAAATCATGTCAAACCAACCTGATAGTTTTCTTTGACAGGGTAACAAGCCTTGTGGATAGGGGGGAAGTGGTAGATGTGGTGTATCTTGACTTTAGTAAAGCTTTTGATACTGTCCCGTGTGACCTTCTCATAAACAAACTTGGGAAATGGAACCTGGATGGAGCTACAATAAGGTGAGTGCAAAACTGCTTGGAAAACCGTTCCCAGATCGTAGTTATCAGTGGTTCACAGTCATGCTGGAAGGGCATAATGAGTGGGTCCTGCAGGGATCAGTTCTGGATCTGGTTCTGTTCAATATTTTCATTAATGATTTTGATAATGTCATAGAGAGTACACTTACAAAGTTTGCGGAGAATACCAAGCTGGGAGGGGTTGCAAGTGCTTTGGAGGATAGCATTAAAATTCAAAATGATCTGGACAAACTGGAGAAATGATCTGAAGTAAATAGGATGAAATTCCATAAGGACAAATGCAAAGTACTCCACTTAGGAAGGAACAATCAATCAGTTGCACACATACAAAATGGGAAATGACTGCCTAGGAAGGAGTACTGCGGAAAGGGATCTGGGGGTCATAGTGGACCACAACCTAACATGAGTCAACAGTGTAACGCTGTTGCAGAAAAACAAACATAATCCTGGGATACGCTAGCAGGAGTGTTTTAAGTAAGACACGAGAAGGAATTCTTCCACTCTGCTCCGCGCTGATTAGGCCTCAAGCGGAGTATTGTGTCCAGTTCTGGGCGCCACATTTCAGGAAAGATGTGGACAAATTGGAGAAGGTCCAGAGAAGAGCAACAAAAATGATTGAAGGTCCAGAAAACATGACCTATGAGGGAAGATTGAAACATGATAACAGTTTTCAAGTACATAAAAGGTTGTTACAAGGACGAGGGAGAAAAATTGTTCTTCTTAACCTCTGAAGATGGGACAAGAAGCAATGGGCTTAAACTGCAGCAAGGGCGATTTAGGTTGGACATTAGGAAAAACTTCCTGTCAGAGTGGTTAAGCACCGGAATAAATTGCCTAGGGAGGTTGTGGAATCTCCATCATTGGGGATTTTTAAGAGCAGGCTGGAGAAACACCTGTCAGGGATGGTCTAGATAACACTCAGTCCTGCCAGGAGTGCAGGGGCCAACACAAGAGTGCAGGGGACAAACTGCTATCTGTCGGCATTTGCTACAGCAGACAGCCGTCTCTGACAACAGCAGTTTTCTACCTTACATTTCCCTAACTGCTACAGGGATCACATTGCTCTGGGGAGTCGTTTCCGACACTGCAGGCCGGCGGAACCATCGACCCACCCGTGTTGTCAGCCAGTGCAGATGGGTCACCCCATTTGGGGCACTTTTACCCTCTCTGCCCCCCGGATTTCCCCCTCCCCCTCTCTGACGGTGCCTGTGCCCCATGCTCACCCCGGCTCCTGCCCCCGGCCCCTCTCCTGCCCCGCCCCAGCTGTTTGCCCCTCCTGGGACCCAGTCTGCCCCCGCCCCGCCGGGCTTCCCCGGGGCCCCAGGCCAGCAGGGCACGTGCCCAGCCCCGGGCCGGCGCCTCAGCCGACGGGACCGAGCAGCCGGAGGAGCCGGCCCGGCCCGGCCCCGCGTGTCGGGCGCCGGCAGCAGCGCTCGGACCGGCGGCCCCGGCCGGGGAGCGGGGCTGGGGCGGGGACGGGCCGGGCGAGCAGAGGCACTTTCCTGCCCGGCCCCGGCCCGAGGTCTCCCCAGCCGCCGTGCCCGGCGCGGGAGCTGCTGCGGGCGGGGCCGGGGGGCGCGGCAGGCAGCCGGGGGACGCGGAGGTAACGTCGCTGTCTGGGGCCCGCTGGGGAGTCGGGCCGGGGGCTGCGGGGCTGGGGGGGGGGAGGGGCGATGGGGGCGGGTCTGACCTGGCCCCGGCCCGCGGGGTGCCGGGAGAGGAAGTCCCGGGCTGCCCCGGGCTCGGTCCCGAACTCGCCGGGCCGGACCCCGCTGCGCGGAGCCTTGGGGCCCCCGATGCCGCCGTAACCAGGCAGCCGGGCTACAAGGGGGGGATCTGGGCGCCTGCCCCGTCCAGCCTGGGGGCTTCCCCCGCGGGGCTGGGCCTCGCCCCGGGCCGGAGACCAGGTAACCGAGGGGCCGGGCCGGGGTCTGCTCCCGCGCTGGGCCTGCGCCGGCCGGGGCTGCCCCGGGACAGGGCGGAGAGAGCGTGTGAGCTGCGCTGGATTTGCCCAGCTCGGTGCAGCCAGGACCTTCCGGGGGGAGGGAGGAGCCGGGGCCCGCACGGGGGCAATTCCGTGGTCGGCCGCCTGGCCGAGGCCAAAGTCCCAGTGAGCCCTGCCGGGGTATTAGAGTCCCCCCAGGAAGCAGTCTGCTTCCCCGGCTCGGGCTTCGGCCCCAGCTCCCGGCCCTGGACATTCAGCCCTTTGGTCAGGCTCCCAAACGAGGCCTGTCCCCTTTTGGGGTTTACACCATTTTCCCTGTTGCCAGGGGAACCCAGGCCCAGCCATTGCCCCAGGTTCCAGCCTGGGGACCCTCGACACAGCGGCCACGTACTGCTCGCTCCAGGCCGTCACTGCTGTTTCCCTGGGCCTCTTCCTACGGGGCCCTTCCATCTGCAGCCCTGTCGCAGGGGCGCCCTCCTCCGCTTCTTCTCTCGCACCGGGCCAGGGAAGAGCCCCCTTGCTTTACTCCTTCAGTCCAGCCAGGGACTGAGCTGCTGTGCCCGCCGCTCCTTTTCTCTGAGCCTCCTGGCCTCTGAGTGGCTGCTTCTGGGAGGCCTGGGTCGGCCCTAGAGAGGCCCAGAGGACCCACCTTTGCCGTTCCCTGGGGCGGGATGTAGTAGGATCGTGGGGGTCTGCTGTAGGGAGCTGCAAAGGCCAGGTACATCCCATCACAAATCCCCTTAAACGTGCCCACTTTTCCCTCCAATTCTTTAATATCAATAAGTCTGCTCAGATGTTGGTGTTTTTCACTTGTATTAGGAAATGTTTCGGTTTTGCCCCATTTGCTCCTCAGTTCTAAAATATTGCCGCAAAATTCCTGAATGTTTTGCCCCATTTTTCTCTAGTTATCTGTGGTTTATTCCCTGAGATTTTCCCCATCTAATCTTCTGACATTGTCCTTTTCTTACATTTGTGAATATTGCTTGCTGTAAAATCCTTGCACATTTTGCCCTTTCTCTCCCTAATTATCAAATATTGATATGAAATCCACTCAAATGTTATCTCTTACCTTGTATCAATTATTGATATAAAATCCCTCAAACTTTTCCGTTTTCCTCTGTTCTGGGGAAATTTCTTATATTTGCTTCCTTTTCTTTTTAGTTACTGAACACTGATGTCACATTTCAGAATTTGCCATTTCCAGATAATTATCAGTTATTGATTTTAAAAAATCCCTTCCAGCTTGTAGGAGTTCCCCTTGTTTTTCATGTGCAGACCCTTCTCCTTTTTTCGAGGGAACCTGTTACCCTGAGTCATTCTCCACAGTGGAGGTTGCAGAGGGGTTAAATTCCTCAGTGATCAGCTTTCCCACTCACCTTTGAGAATCATTTGTTTCCCCCTTTGTCTCCATTAAAATCCACTTGGTTGCTGATCAGAGTGACTTGCCCCGTTTCAGATACACATCCCAGGCAGGCCTCACACTATGTGGGCCTCACACTATCCAGTGTCTCCCAGATCCTGATTGAATTTCCTTTCCCCAGACAGTGCGAGACAAGGGGTTTACTCCCCTCAGCAGGTTGCTCTGTGCATGGGTGGGTTCTTGTTCCTCCCCCCAGGCATTGCCCAGAGCAGCTGAGATGCTCCATCCTCCTGTATTAACTCCTCCCATTTCGATAGCTGCTTTCACCAAAAGGGTCTCCAGAGCCCGTGGTGAACAGTCACCATGAGGGGTCTCTTCCTGCAGTGCTGAGACCCAGCCGCCTCTGGGGTGGGTTTATGGTGGCCATTATTAGCCAGTGAGAGGACACGGAAGTTTATTGAATCGTCTGGCTCCTCCATCTACTCCCGTCTCCTGTTAAAGCAGCATTGCCCAGGGCTGTGTGAATGGCCGGTCGGGGGCAGTGATAACTTTCTCTCCATTGGTCAAATACTAATATAAAATCACCACAAATTTTGTTTCTCTCCCCCTTTAGAGAGATGTCGGATGTTCAGGGTTTGGAGGGAAGATAGTTGCCCTGAGTCCTTGCTCCAGATGTGGGGAGTGGGGGAGGAGGGAAGGTCTGGAACCTCCCCTCCCAGGATGTGTTTAAACAGATTTTGGCGTCTTCCCCTCCCCAATGTCACATTTCTGGTCTCATTGACTCCAGAGTCGCTGCAAGGAAGGAAAAGGAGTGACTCTGGATTAACATAGGAGCCGATAAGATCGGGGAAGTGGTGTCCTTAGCTGCTGTCACCAGAGGGCTCTGGCTGTTGCTAAGGGAGGGGAGGCTGCTCTCTCTGTCTCTCTTTACTGAAGGTATCAGGGTTGAGTTTCTCAGGTGGGATGGTGCTGCCTCACCTGTGCTCTGGGAGCCCAGGCTGAGCCGCTGCTGCTCCTCGGCAGGGTCTGTGCTGTAGAGAGACTTTCATTAAAGCCTCCCCCATGCCCAGCCAGGGACTTCCTGCAGTGGCTGGAACTAGCCCCCTAAGGGAGCCCCGAGGGCTCTCCAGTGAGCTGGTTACTATTGTCACATGTATAAGTTACAGCTGACCCATTAGAGAAGTTTTTCATGAACCTGCCAGTGTGTCTTCCATTGGGGATGACACAGAATATGCTCACAAATGGATACATCACTGCTCCATGCAACACGCATGCCAGAAATCTCACATCGTCTGTAAGGCTGTCCAATCAACTGGTGCCCTTCTTCACATGTAAAGTTGATGGTTGATCCAAAGAGGATATCTGTTAACTCTGCCATTCTCCGGCTCTCCTGGATGACCACACGATTTCTCAGTTAATTTTGTGATCTGGGTAGGAGCTCTCTTATCAGGGATTTCATGTATTACACACAGCCTTTTGAAGCTTATTCAGCAATATCATTGTCTTCACTGTTTGTAGGACATAAGTGTTCCCATTTGTGGATTTTTGGAATGATTGGGGTCCTGGGGCATTCTAGTTCTTCTCTAGCAGGTCCAGTTGCCGTTTTCACTCTCTTTCTTCCTTCTCTTTTTCTTCCATGGCCCTTCGGTGTGCAGCTTCCTCCCTGGCTGCCTTTGTCTCCATAGCCCTTCTGTGTGCTGCAAGCCTTGTGCTTTCCCACAACGCACTGGGGGGTCAGGATTCCTCAAACTGCACCAGCTGCGAGAAGTGACCCAAGTTGCTAAGAGCCATGGGTCTGCTGAGGGGAATTTCTGTAACTTAAAGCAGAAAGCGGAGCACTTTTATCTTTCTCTGCTCAGGATCCTTGTGTCTGTCCCATCTTGAAATGGGAACTGGAAGTGATTTAGAAGATGATATTCAATAACTTCTTGGTCCACCGCAGCTTTTGTAGCGAAATGTGTAAGCCCAGAAGTGGAGAATGGAGGAACAAATGGGGTACAGCCTGTCTACAGAGCCAGAGACATCATTGTGTTTGAATGTAACCCTGGTTATACACTTGAGCAGCAGCCCAGAGACTCCCCTTGGGAGAACAAGCCTGGTACATAACAATTTTTTTGTTAAATTGACTTGCCTATATGAGCTTGCAGCGTCCAGGGGGCATAGCTAGACACTGCAAGACAGAGGTTCCTAGGGTTGTTTCCGGGACCGGGGATATTGGCTAGTGTCATTTGCTTGCAAGTAGCTGGGAGCAGCTGACATGCCAGAGGCTGTGTGTGACCAGCCCAGGAGTGGGGGTTCTCACAGCAGAGCAGAGTAAGGCTGGCTCCCAGTGTCAAGGATTGGAGAGGCCTAGCAGATCACCGGTCCAGATAACACCGAGGGGAGTCTCTGATACACTGCCAACCAAATGCACTGCTTCAGGTAGAATAAACAGATTTATTAACTATAAAGGTAGATTTAAGTGATTATCCGTCAAAGCATAACAAGTCAGATTTGGCCAAATGAAATAAAAGCAAAACTCATTCTGAGCTGATCTTAACACTTTTGGTGTCCTTAAAAACTTAGATGCTTCTCACCAGAGTCTGGCTTTTCAGTCAGGCTCTCCCCTTTGGTCAGCGTTTCAGTTGCTTGGTGTTGGTGGTGTCTGTAGATGTAGGTGAAAGAGCGAGCATGGCAAAATGTCTCTCCCTTTTATCATGTCCTTTATTCCCTCATGGCTTTGTGCCCCCCCCCCCCCTTCAGAGTCGGGTGAGCATTACCTCAGTGCAGTCCCAAACTGCCCAAAGGAAGGGGGTTACTCCCTCCAGGGTCTAACAGATTCTTTTGTTGCTACCTAAGCCAGTGTCCATTGTTCCTGTGAGGCTGGGCTGGGTTTGTCCCATCCATGCCCTGACGAGGTATGAACTGTCTCTCTCTGTTCTTAGAGATTTCAGAGTAGCAGCCGTGTTAGTCTGTATTCGCAAAAAGAAAAGGAGTACTTGTGGCACCTTAGAGACTAACCAATTTATTTGCGCATAAGCTTTCGTGAGCTACAGCTCACTTCATCGGATGCATAAAGTGGAAAATGCAGTGAGGATGTTGTTAAACCCTGGATTTGTGCTGGAAATGGCCCACCTGGATTATTATACACATTGTAAGGAGAGTGATCACTTTAGATAAGCTATTACCAGCAGGAGTGGGGTGGGGGGAGAGAAAACCTTTTGAAGTGATAAACACCCATGTTTTCATGGTCTGGTTGTATAAAACATCCTCACTACATTTTCCACTTTATGCATCCGATGAAGTGAGCTGTAGCTCACGAAAGCTTATGCTCAAATAAATTGGTTAGTCTCTAAGGTGCCACAAGTACTCCTTTTCTTTTTGTTCTTGGAGAGTTTTTGCATGGGCTTGCTTTAGCCATGAGGTTACATTTTCAGCCTCATAACGATATACATTAAATTATAACCTATAACCTGACTATAACATTACTGTAACAGTTACTATAACATCACTATAACAACAATGCTCAGTGCATCATGAGTCTTCCAAAGACACCCAACATAACAAACTTTGCATTGGATACCACACAATTATTTTATAAAGATGAACATGGGGGTGTAGGGTGTTCCCCTGAGGTACAGAGCGTCACAGGGGACTTCCTCCAATGGCTGGAATGAGCCCCCTAAGGCAGCCCTAGGCTCTGCCAACCCCAACTGCTGAGCCAGAGACTTCAGGTGACTGAGAGAGACAAGAGGATGGTCAGAAAAGTGACTCTGCACAAATGTCACCAGGAGCCTCGTATCTCACAGACCCTGGGAGTCTTCTACTTGTTGTTAATGCACCTGTGGGTGGAATCCAAGTTGCCTTAACAGCACCAAAGCCACTGGTCTCCTGCTAGGATCTGCCTAGTGGCAAAACTGGGGATTGAGGAGGGGAAGAGACCGACTCCGTGGGGTTCCCCTTTGCGTGTGTGGGGTGTGGAGGTGCTAGGCAGGGAAGGGTCGGGGAGGGACAGAGATGGAGGGAGAGACAGTGTGAGTTGGGAGCAGTCAGGAAATTACAGGGGCGAGGGAGCATGAAATCCCCTGTGATTTTGCCACTTCCCTCTGAAAGATTTATAAAATTCTCTCTGATTCCGTCGTGTAATTATCAAATATGGATATAAAATCTATGTTGATTTCTTCTTCTTGTCTCTCAAATTATTTACAATTTCTCCATTCAGCCTTTGCCCCATTTTCTCTCTTAATTCTCCAATGTCAATTTAAATTCTCCTCAGATTTGGGGTGTTTCCTACCCCTTGGATCTGCAGTGCTTTGTCCTTGTTCGGTAGGGAATTGTTGCCTTGAACCATTCCCCAGGTTGGCCAGTCTTTGCTGGCAATGGGGCATGGAAGGGGCACATGAGGGGAAGGGAGAAGCAAATCTCCCACATGGAGACTGCCCAGCCCCAGGTTACCCAGTCCCAGCTGCTGCCCCACACCGTGACCTGTGTGAATGGCAGGTGGGGCGGGGAACCATCGTCTTCTGTTTATTGAACACCCATTTTCCCTGACAACTTCATTAATGCAGCGCTAAGGGTGCCCAGTGCTGTCTTGTGCCCTTCCAGCATGTTGAGTTCAGCAAAATTCAGACCTCTCAAAAGTAGGAAATCAAAGCTGTATTGGTCTGGTGTAGATGTACCCTAAGTGTTTCTCAGTGCAACAGAACCTGGAATGTCTGTTTGCAGGGAGAACGCCTGGGATGAATGGAGAATGTGAAATGGACAAAACCCCTTCTGAAATCACTCCAATTGCCCTTCTCGCCCTGACAGGCTGCAGAATAACATCCATATTTTGCTCTGGATTATTCCATCCTCCCAAAGGAAAGGAAATGGCGTCGGAGGAACCAGCTCAGGTAAGGGGTTGTCTGGGAGCTGGTGGTGGGTTCTGGCAGGAGGGAGAGGGGCAGTAAATGTACAGGAGAATGGGAGCTGCTGGAGGTGGAGGAGGGGGGCAGGAAATAGACAATGTAGAGAAAGGGAGAAGATGGTGTGACCATCCTGCTCGAACTAGTTGTATTTGGGGCTTGCTTTCGAGGAACAGACTCATGGGGTTTGGGAGTGGGACTTCCCCTGTTTATAGAACAGGAAATAACCTCCCCTGGGAAAACTTTCCAGACTCCCAGTGCTGGAGCCTGAATCTACCGATACACTTCATTATTTGCCGCTCCCCCAATCTTTGTGTCATCTGCAAACTTTATCAATGACGACTTTATGTTCTATTCCCGCTCATTGATAAATAGCACAGGGTCAAGAACCTATCCCTGTGAGATCCCACTAGAAACACACCTACTCAACCGTGGTTCCTCACTTACAGTTACGTTTTGAAACCTATCAGCCACATTTTAATTTTTTTCATGTGTGCAATGTTAATTTTGAATTTTTCTGGTGGCTTAATCAAAGGATCGTTCTGTACCAAGTCAAATGCCTTAAAGAAGTCTATGTATATTACATCAATGTAATTACCTTAATCAACCAAACGTCTAAACTCATCCAAAAAGACATGCAGTTAGTTTGCTAGGATCTAAACCTATGTTGATTAGTATTAATTATATTACCCTCCTTTAATCTTTTATTAATACAATTATGAGATGCTCCATTATCTTGTCTGGTATCAATGTCAGATGGACATCCTATAATTACTTGTGTCATCTCTTTTAAACCTTCTAAGTAATGGCACAGGACCATCTTTCTTCCATTCTTCTGGAGTTTTCCCAGTGTTCCAAGACCCTTTGAGAATCAACTGTAATGGTCCAGCAGCTCCTCAGCCAATTCTTTTAAAACTCCTGAATGCAAGTTATCTGGACCTGCTGATTTAAAATATGTCTAACTTTAATAGCTGCTGTTTAACATCCTCATTAGTTGTTACTGGAAGGTAGAGAGTGTCCGTATCATCATATGATATTACTATCATCTTTGTGTCTCTTTCCCAGGTACAGAACAGAAGTATTCACTGAACACTTTTGCCTTCTCTGTATTATCACTGATAATTCTATAGTAATTGAGAAATACCATTGTTAGGATTCTTTGTTAATATATTTACAAGAAAACCCTTCATATTTTCCTTAACTCTGCTGGCCATAGATTTCTGCTTCTGTCCCTTTGCTTTCCTTATGAATTTTCTACAATTCCCAGTTGCTGATTTATATTCTTTCCTGACCACTTCCCCTTTCCTTCGTTTGATATCTATTGCTTTTTTATGGTGTGGGTTTGGGATTCCTGCTGGGGTTCCACGTCCTGTATCAGCCCCTGGCTAGTACGTGTGTGATAAATGTGAAGACCCTTGTTCCCTCTGTGTGCTGGCAGGGACAAAGGGCTCTTTCTTTCTCCCCTCACCCTCTTGGCTGCTCTGAGTGGGATAGGGATGGGAATCTGCTACCGTGTCCGTCCCAGAGCATTCATTTTACTGGCCCTTCTCTCCTGTGAATACTGGTGTTGTCACTGGGCAGCAGGTATTGAGTGGGTGACTCTTGTTTTTTTCAGGGGCCGGTGATCTTCGAGGAGCTGGCTGTGTACTTCACGGAGGGGGAATGGGCTCTGCTAGACCCTGCTCAGAGAGCCCTCTACAGGGAGGTCATGCAGGAGAACTATGCCACTGTGGCCTCACTGGGTAAGGATTCCTGTGCCCTAGTTATTAGAAGCTGTGGGGTCTCTACAGAACCCGAGTAGTAATAACTCTGGACCTTTACTCAGCCTGTAATTTTTGGCAAGTTTCCATGCCTGGCTTTTTGCTTCATGTCCTTCCCGGTGTCATTTGTGGGTGTGTGTGTATTTAATGTCGGCCATTTTGAAAAAATATGATTTATAAAATTTAGTTTAATTTATCCTTATTGGATGCATTAGAAGTAATGAATAACTAGAGCGTTCACCCCTTTCCTCATTTGACGGGGTCTCTCTGCAGCTGCTACAATTCTAGATACAGTCCAGTAAACGGGAACTACGAGGTACATGGACGGCGTGACAGTCAGGTGAGCCCATGTTTTGATAGGCGAGCGTAGGAGGTTGTCGCTCAGGAGTCCATGGGTGACAGGGAAACGGAGCAGTGGGAGGGGAGGAGAAGGGGAGTAGATGTGCTGGAGTGGGCTGAGATCACTCACTGCGACCCTGGCCACCATTCCAGAGTCCTGGCCACCATTCCAGAGTCCTTGCTGTGTTCCTCCCTCCCAGAGGACGATCACTGCCCCGGCACAAATGTGCCCTTTGCCAGTGATGTCATGTAGTGGTAGTGAGAGTTCTGGGGACTCAGCAGGTCTTGTTATGGTTGACATAAGTAACTTAGTGTCTACAATCATGCTGCATTGACCCATGGTAATGAGGAGGAGTGGCCTCCCTCTGAGCAGGAGAGCGAGGGACCACAACACTGCCCCGGTGAGTGGAGCTAAATCGATCCTGCCCCCCTTACCGCAAGTCCCGGGGTGGGACAGGAAGTATAAAAGGAGAGCCTCGGTGTTCATTTGGGGCTGGCACACCAGAGGGAGCTAGGCCCCGAATGGAGCTGTGGCCAGAGGAGACAGAAGAGTGCCCTGAGGAGCTGTGAGGACTGCCAGAGGCTGAGTACCTCGAGGAGACAGAGGACCTTTAGGCTACAGAGCCCGACACCCAGATTGCAGTAGGAAGTAGTGCAGAGGAACCAGACGCTGGTCCGATTCTGCTGCTGGAGTGCGAGTCAGCGTGAGTCCCCCTCTGTTAGGGCCTTGGGCTGGGACGTGGTGGAGGCAGGTGTGCCGCATCACCCTGTTTCCTGCCACTCCACCCCTGGGGTGGCCGCCTCCCCACCTGAGACCCAAGAGGCCTGTGTTCCTCTGCCGTGCACCTCAGCAGGACCCCAGACTGCTTTGTCTGCTGTGTCTGCTCTGCCCCCGCCCAAAGCTGCTGGGCTATAAACTGGTTTTTGCTCTGCCCCTCCCAGGGGGCTGGAGTTTCCCCTACAAACTGTGATTTGCAGTCTGCCTGTAGTGAGGCAGAGCGACCTCCCTCCCCACTCAAGAGCAAGTGACCACGACACTTTGTGGACAATGCCCCAGCCATGAAACAAGGGGACTAGCCCAGCACAACAGCGAGGCAAATTCCCCCTTTGCTGAAAGATAAGACAGTGACCCTCTCCAGCTAGGAAGAGTGGAGGTTGAGAAACTCATCCAGTGGCTTTCTGGGAGACGACAGCAACAGCATGTGACGCAGCTCCGGCAGAAGCAGCTCCTGCAATAGCTTGGACACTAGCACCAGCAACTGATCCGAGAGCAGCGGGCCCAACAGCAGCGGCGGTGCCTGCAACACCTAGCAGTTCCAATCCTGTGAAGGCAGTGACTCCACCCGGCCCCGTGGGGCCTGTGCTCCTGGCAAAGGCAGGTTCCGAGGATGACCCAGAGGCCTTCCTCAGTTTCAAACGAGGCTGGACCAGGGAATCTCGGGCACATAAGTGGCCCGTGGGCAGGTGACAACCCTGATAGACGTAGATGGAATTTGGGTCTCCACCCTCATCGTCTCCAGTTGTGGACAGACTCTGGTACATCAGGACCTCATCAAATCCCCAGAGTTGGGGGTCATTAGGCTGTAGTGCATCCATGGGCACATGAAACCTTATCCTCGAGCCTGAGCCACCTTGACTGTGAGGGGAGAGATGAGGGTTATGGTGGCGGGCCTGGCCTAAAGGCTGGTCTACCCAGTCATTTTAGGTCAACACCGCGAGGCCCTACACACCACAAGCCTTGAATCCCAACAACCCTGGGTGGTGCTTGATGGAAAACCTCTCGAAGGGGCAGATGGGACACTCAGAGACTCCAACCCAGGCACCCCAGGAAACTCTGAGGCTGAGTGGGACCCACCCCCTGATGATAGGGACAAGTCCAAGCCTCTCACTGAGGGTGAGCCCGCCAGTTTAGTCACATACTTTAGCTGTGACCAACGGAAGGACCCCACCCTGGGACGGGCCTATGAGCAGTTGGCTTATGTTGATGGAACGATTACAGACCCACGACAAATGACTCAATACCCCCACTTCGAGTTGACCAGTGACCACCTCGATCGGGTTGATTGTGATTCCCAGACCCAGGACATCCGGACCCAACAGTTCCGCAATGCCATTGACGGGCCATTCTGCAGCTGGCCCATGGCATTCTTGCAGTGGGGCATCTGGGGCATGGATCATAGCCAGGATCCTGATGCAGCTTTTCTGGCCAGGAGTGCACTGGGAGGTAAAGGATTTTTGTGACTCCTGTCTGGAGTGTCAACTCGCAACTCCATGGGGGGTACCGAAGGCTCCTCTTGTCCCTCTACCAGTGATTAACACCCCTTTCGAGAAGATCACGTGGATCCTGATAAGGCATCTCCTGAAGAGCACTGCAGGTTTTCAGTATATCTTAGTTGTGCTCAATGATGCCACCCTTTCCCAGAAGTGATCCCCCTTCAAAACATCATGGCAAGAACGCTGGTCGCAGAGCTTCTGAGGATTTTCCCGGGTAGGTCTCCCCTGGGAAGTCCTAACAGACCAAGGCACCGATTTCACCTCAAAGCTATTCCGACAGGTCTGTGACCTCTTAGGAATAAAAATGTTACAACTGTGTACCACCCACAGACTACCAGGTTGATAGGATGCTTTACATAAGAATGGCCATACTTGGTCAGACCAAAGGTCCATCTATCCCAGTATCCTGTCTTCCGACAGTGGCCAATGGCAGGCGTCCCACAGGGAATGAACAGAATAGGTAATCATCAAGTGATCCATCCCCTGTTGCTCATTCCCAGCTTCTGGCAAACAGAGGCTAGGGACACCATTCCTGCCCATCATAGCTAATAGCCATTCATGGGCCTAGCCTCCGTGAACTTATCTAGTTCTTTTTTGAACCCTGATATGGTCTTGGTCTTCACAACATCCTCTGGCACGGAGTTCCACAGGTTGACTGTGTGTTGTGTGAAGAAATACTTCCTTTTATTTGTTTTAAATCTGCTGCCTATTAATTTAATTGGGTGATCACTAGTTCTTGTGTTATGAGAAGTAGTAAACAACACTTCCTTATCTGCTTTCTCTACACCAGTCATGATTTTAAAGACCTCAATCATATCTCCCCTTAGCTGTCTCTTTTCCAAGCTGAAAAGTCCCAGTCTTATTAATCTCTCCTCATAAAGAAGTCGTTCCCTACCCCTAACCATTTTTGTTGCCCTTTTCTGAACCTTTTCCAAGTCCAATATATCTTTTTTGAGATGGGGCGACCACATTTGCAGGCAGTATTCAAGGTGCAGGCGTACAATGGATTTATATAGGGGCGCAACATGATATTTTCTGTCCTATTATTTATCCCTTTCTTAATGAGTCCCCAGCATTCTGTTCGCTTTTTCAACTGCCGCTGCACATTGAATGGATGTTTTCAGAGAACTATCCATGCTGACTCCCAAGAACTTTCTTGAGTGGTAAGAGCTAATTTAGACCCCATCATTTTATATGTATAGTTGGGATTATGCTTTCCAATGTGCATTACTTTGCATTTATCAACATTAAATTTCATCTGCCATTTTGTTGCCCAGTCACCCAGTTTTGAGAGATCCTTTTGTAGCTCTTCACAGTCTGCCTGGGTCTTAATTATCTTTAGTAATTTTGTATCATTTGAAAATTTTGCCACCTCACTGTTTACCCCTTTTTCCAGATCATTTATGAATATGTTGAATAGGACTGGTCCCAGAACAGACCCCTGGGGGACACCACTATTTACCTCTCTTCATTCTGAGAACTGACCATTTATACCTACCCTTTGTTTCCTATCTTTTAATCAAAAAAAGAAAAGGAGTACTTGTGGCACCTTAGAGACTAACAAATAAATTTGTTAATCTCTAAAAAATGTATTTGTTAGTCTCTAAGGTGTTACAAGTACTTCTTTTCTTTTTGCAGATACAGACTAACACGGTTGCTACTTTGCAACCTATCTTTTAACCAGTTACCAGTCCATGAGAGCACCTTCCCTCTTATCCCCCGGCAGCGTACTTTGCGTAAGAGCCTTTGGTGAGGGACCTTGTCAAAGGCTTTCTGAAAATCTAGGGACACTATATCCACTGTATCCGCTTGGTTCACATGCTTTTTGACCCTCTCAAAGAATTCTAGTGGATTGGTTAGGCATGATTTCCCTTTACTAAAACCATGTTGACTCTTCCTCGACAAATTATGCTCATCTATATGTCTGACAATATTGTTCTTTATTATAGTTTCAACCAGTTTTCCCGGTACTGATGTCAGGCTTACAGGCCTGAAATTGCCGGGATCACCTCTGGAGCCCTTTTTAAAAATTGGTGTCACATTAGCTATCCTCCAGTCATCTGGTACAGAAGCTGATTTAAATGATAGGTTGCAGACTACAGTTAGTAGTTTTGCAATTTCACATTTGAGTTCCTTCAGAACTCTGGGGTGAATCCCATCTGGTCCCGGTGACTTATTTCTGTTTAACTTATCAATTTGTTCCAAAGCCTCATCTAATGATACCTCAATCTGGGACAGTTCCTCAGATCTGTCACCCTAAAAAGAATGGCTCAGGTTTGGGAATCTCCTTCACATCCTCAGCCGTGAAGACCAATTCAAAGAATTCATTTAGTTTCTCCGCAATGGCCTTATCGTCCTGGAGTGCTCCT